CCCCTGCTGGGAGCGATGAGGCGGCGCCCCGGGCAGCGCCAGATCGCGGGAAGCACAGAGACCGGTGGTTCCGCCCGGCGCGGTGGGTCGGGCACCCAGGGACACCCCAGGCGATGGGGACAGCGTGTGCGTTCGGCTCCGAGGGGACAGTGGGGCGGTAGCAGGACAGGGGCAGGCAGGGACAGGGGTGTCTGCTCTGCACGTAACTATCAAGGGTCCTACAGAGCACCCCGTGAAAGGAGGAGCTGGGCAAGGTCTGCGTAAACCTGACAGCCCCTCATACTGGTTGTGCTTTCCAGAGCTCTCTGCAGTGCTCGGGTCTGAACCTGCCACCCGGATTGCAGAGGGAGGAAGGGGCTGGGTGTTGGGATCCTGCAGGAGAAGGTTGAGCTGCCACTGGAGCCTTAATGAGCCCTGAGATTTCTCTAAACCCTCAGTTAATGGCAAATGAAATGATCATCAGGGAGGGAGTCTTTGTGTTTTCCTCCAGCGACTGCCCTTTCATGAGGAACAAAACCCAGCTGGAAGATGAGGGCACAGGAGGTCAAAGCAACATGTAGAGGGAGAAGACGAGATATGGGCACCTCTGAGACCAGGGGGCAGGTTCCTGAGCACCTGCAGGGCTGCGATGCACAGAGCTGTCTCTGAGCTGGCTGCTCTGGGCTGAAGGAGAAATCCAGGTCAGAGCTGCATTAGGGATCCTGGGAATGGGATCAAGGGGGTAGCTCAGAAGTCAAACTGCAGCAGTGTCAAAAAGCTTGGCTGTGTTGTCATAGGCTTTTGGTGCAAGCTGGGATGGATGTGAGAGCTCTGGCAGGTGAGAAGCATTGGGGAGCTCACCATCTCACACTGGAAGGGGCCAAACAACCCTCAGGGACACCCCAAGGTCCCAGGCTGCTTTCTGCCCATGATCCCACTCCCTTGGGAGCTCAGCCAAGCCCAAGGGCAGCCTCAGTCTTTTACAATCCTTGTCACATTTTATGGGTCTGGGTGCTACGTCCTTCCACAAGTTCACATCAGCCCAGCTGCAGAGCTGAGTTTGCATTATACACCTTTGTAGTGATGCCAACTTGCTGCCTCCTATAAAACCATGGAATCTAACTAAAAGCCCAAAAAAAGTAAACCCAAACTCTTTGTCCCAGCTGCAAGAAGGTACGAGCAACTGCCAAAACAGAAACACAGCTCAGGAGTCTCTTTGCTGAATTCCTCCTGCCTTGTCCTATTGTCTCCCCTGTACCCAGGGACCCAGAGCAGATGTAAGCACAGGGCTGAGCAGCAAAGATGTACTGTTGGTACGTGCCATCTTCTGGGTTCCCCTTCCCTTTGGAAGCAGTTGAATTCATGACAATGTGCAGCATCAGTTTCAAAACTCAAGACATCAGATCAGAAGAGTTTCCATTCAAAATGCCTGATGCCCAGACTTCGGTCCGTTTTGGGTGAGCTTTGAGAAAGATTTCTGTCTGGGGGCTCTTGGAGCTGCCCAAGGAACTGCTTAGAAGACCTCCTACCTGTAACCTTTGCTTAAGTCAGTCACAGAAGAACTGAAGCACAATGGCACCCAAGGCAACTCTCTTTCCAGACATTATCTACTCATTCTGCATCTGCAGGCTTAGAGATAGGAACCTGTTGCACAGCAAACCTTTACAATCCACAAACCAGCTCACAAGAAGATATTAATTGAAAAGAAGTAGTGTCTGTTGCACACTCTCTGCTGTGGATTCTTTTGGCCTTTGATTTAAAAAATATCTATTCCTTGAAGGGGAATGGGTTTGCATATACACAGTGACAGACCAGTACTGGACCCTCCTGTAACCTCTGGTTTTATTTTCCTCATTTCTGGGGTGATTTTAAGGAACATGGAGGCATTTGCCTGAGGCTGGAGGTAACCTGAACACTGCAACAGAAACTCAACAGCTTCCTGTCTCGGTTTCACCAAACCAAAATAGCAAGGAGTTAGAAAACAAAGAAAAAAGCCATTAACTCTCCACCAGTTAACCAGCACATAAAACTCAAGAAGGCACATGAGCAAAGATAAATGAGCTGTTGCAGTGCTCATCTCTTTTGTTTTGTAGTAAATTATTGTGTGTAATTCATGTTTCCTGCTCATAAATGCCAGAGGAACTCGAAGACATGGAATCCATTCTAATTTAGTAAAGACAAAAACAACTCCTTTTGAGCCCATCTGGAACCTGTTTGTATCGTAATTGTTTTGGGCTCAGTAACGAGTTCAAGATCTAACTGCCCTCACTAATTGTTTCAAGAATAAACAGATGCTTTGTTTCAAGGCAGCAGCTCGATGCTGCCCAGCACAGCCCTCCCCGGGCCGCAGGATGAAAGGAGCCGTGTGCCATGTCAGCACGGGCTGTAACGAGCACTGGCGCCCCGGCCGGGGGGCTCACCCCCTCAGCAGCCGGGGGGGCAGGAAACCAGCCCCCAGCCCGCACTTGACGGGCCTCCAGCCGGTGACATGTGCTCCCTGCTCTTTCAGAGCATTGGCATTTTGTTTGTAAACTCATGTGATGTCCTGCTGAGACTAGTCGTACCTGGTCTGATGACACACAGGCTCCTCCAGCTGGGCCACCGGGCGCACAGCAGAGAGTTCACTCCCTGGCCACCTAACCCCCCGTGCCCCTTGGCTGGAGTAACGCTCCATCCCCTGCAATAGAGCCCTGAGTCTTTTCTTCATTTGAAAACAAAGAAACGCCCCCACTGCCCACGCTGAGAGACTCCCCCACCAGGGGGTGAGACTCTGCAAGTTCTGTACAAGGTCTCAGCCGCCCCTGGGCACATCACACCTGAGATCCCTGTTAGCCCCAGGGTGGAAGAGGTGGCTGCAGGACTGATGCACGAGCACTAGGATTCAGAAAGAGCAGCACCGAGCTCCCCTACACATGAGCCACAACAGCCATAGGGACGTTACAGGAAGGTATTTCAGGTTCAGTCATTGGTGTCACAGACAACAGGTGCCAAGAGCTCAGGATCCACTATGCAATCAGTTAAGAGTTTCTGGTCCAGGTTTGGAAACAAGGCTCCATGAACTCGCTGGGCACAGATAAGCTGTGTAATCACACAAGGCACCTGAAGTGTTTACTTTTAAATGTTTAATGACCAAATATAAGTTCTTTCTCCTTCATTGAAGGATTTCCTGAACCAAATCAGCTAACCCTGCAGTGTGATGGCTAAAGTCAGGAGCAAGTGAATCATGCAGAATTTGATTTTTTTAAAAAAATATGTTTGTTTGCTAGAAAGAAACTAAAGATAGCACTTGGAGCTCAGCCCTCCAAGGACATGTGGTTTGCACAGGGCATGCTGTAAATCAAAGTTTATGTTATTTTCATTTCCTATGTTTTTCAGTTCAAAAATACAGCTTTGCATCTGACATGTCATGAGAAAGAAGATCTCACCTAAGTCTCCTTGAGCAGAATCTGATCACATATCCAAACAAAGCACTTCATCCCATACAGCTTCTGATCATGAGTTGAAGACATAAAGCAAGAAAACGTCTGTCATTTTGCACTGTGATTTTTTTTCCCAGTGATTAATCATTCTTGTTACATTCTTCTGCCTTGTGATCTGTCCTCTACACCACAGGTCACCTCCCACAGCTGTCAGCAAGGAATATCCTTCAAGGGCCTTTATTTTGTAATATCCATTTCATAAGCACTGTGGCCTGATCAACAAGAGAACTGAAAAACAAAGCTTGTTTCTTATAAAAAGAGGTCTGTGTTCAGCTCACAATAGCAGCACATGCAGCTGAGTGTGCTGTCAGCTGCTGAAGATCCCTATAAGGAGTCAGAAATGGTGTTTGTGCTTTGGTTTCCACTCGAGGCAGGACCATGTGTCCTAGTCCAGGTGCCTTTCATAAGGCAGGGGCAGCTCTAATAAAAAGCTCTGTCTGAAGTGAGTTAAACAAGAAATCAGGATGAGTCTGATACTCCAACACTGCTGCACATATTTTCCTCTCCTCTGATGGGAACTTTCAGCCACATTTACTGCCATTCAGCAGAGTCTAAATGTTCATCACTTGCACACAGGAACAGAGATTTTGTTCAGCCAAGCAGTGTGTTCTCTCTGGCCTTCAGGTCACCCAGCTTCAACTAACTGCCTGCATCAGTGTCTGATAAAAGAAGGAAAGAAAAAGAATGTTTCAGCCACAGCATGACCTACAGCTCACAATGGACTGAGAAAAGGATATTTCAACTATTTGTAGTATTTTGAGCTTTCTCAGTTTTCCCAGAGAAGCTCTACTGCTTATCAGGAGGGTGAAAACTCAGACTGCTGATCCAATGCACAGAACATAAAGGCATTCTCCTGACATCCAAACATCCCAGCTGGCAAGGAAAAGCAGCTACTTCCCTTGGCTGTATTAGCCCCTGTGTCCTCAGAGGACTCATCTCCCATGGATCTCCTCTGGTCTGGAAAGCATCCCATTAATTCTGTGTGGTAGCAGAAGCTCTGTCAGCATTTGGTCCCTGCCCTGAGAATCCTCTGCAATGAAGTCTATTTCCTGAAGCTTTCATAGAGTGTCTTGAACTTAGATAAATTGTGGTTTTTTTCTCAGGAACATCAGTGAACTGCTGGAACTGAGAATAATGGTGTCACAGCAGGGCACACATTTCCTACAAAGAAAATCCGTTTTAACAGCTAATTTCCATAAACATCGTTTTCACCATAAAAACAGGAGACCTGCTGGATGTTTCTTGAGAGAGCTGCCTGTTTCTAGATGATGCTATTTGTCTTCTGCATTCCAAGTGAGTCCTGCAAGGGTAAGGACAAGCAGACAGAGGTATTCCATACTTGGCTGTGACAATCCTTACAGGAAAGAGAGAAGGGTTTACAGAAATAGCCAGGCTAGAGCCTGGGAGACAGCCAACAACTAGCCAGGGAGCAGCCCCAAATCTCTTCTGCTATTTACAGTGTAGTATTTGTAGGGAGAATTCGTCCTGTAGATCCAAGCCTCACCAATTGCAACAGGGCCCCTTTTCTCCTCTTGCCATGTACTTGCAGGACAATCCTGGAGTAAAAACACTGAAACGTTGGAGCCTCTCAATGCAGGGCAAATCAAGGAACGTGTGTTGATGGTCTTTCCTGATGGCAGGATTACTACTTATTCCTGCAGGCAGATAATTACAGGCAGAGACTGCCATCACATTCTCCAAATAACTACTCTCCTATGCTCGTGGCATCAGATTTCACCTTGATTATGACAGGATTGAGTTCAGTGAAAAAGTATTTGAGGGAAGAGGGTGGTAGGTCCCTGCAGTGGTGCTGGAAATATGCTGGGGTTATGTGAAGGCTTCCAAAGCCAGGAGTTTGAATAACTGCAGTGCAGTGGTTATACCCTGGTGACAGACCCTGAGATCAGAGATTTCTCATCTACAATAACTCCAAAATGTGACTCCAAAATGGTGAGAACTTTGCCCAAAGACTGAACCCTGGGGATGCTGGGGTTTTTTTAAGTGCAGCAGGAGGCCAGTTAGAAACACAACCAATGTGAACACCTGTCGGCACCAAAGAGTGAGTCATATCATTGTTATGTAGGAGAAAAAAAATCTATCCATCCAGTCCTCATCAAGATGGCTGTTACTAGAAAAGAAAGAGGACAACCTCCAGGAACTCCCACTGCCAGCTAGCTAGGGGCACACACTGATCTAGCCACAGCAACAGCCCACAGGGAGGCTGGTGAACAGCCTGTGCACACCTGCAGGACTTTGCT